CCAATAGTGTTAAGGAAATCTGCAACTCTTGTGATTTCCCAGTCATTTACTTGTCTTCTGAAACTGATTTCCCACCCATCAGGTGTCCACATTCCTGCAATTGTTCTTTGCTGATTTAACATTAAGTTGTGGATATCTGGGTAGATATTCCTCAGAATCCCCATCTCATGCCAGTCATCTCCCCAGAAGCTTGTCTTTTCCCCATTTCTAACCTTAACCTTGGTTTTGATCTTGAAATCATCCCACAAGGCCCTTACAGATCTCCACTGATTCACTCCATATGGGGAAAATACTTCCTTTGTCATCCGCCAATTTTCTTCTTCATACTTGGCTTTGATGACTTTCCCCATAACGGATGTTTGTCGTTAGCATATTTCCACAACCATTTCATTTTGAGGGCCTTGCTATGATTCTGCAGATTTTTAATACCCAAACCCCCATACCTTTTTTCTATTATCAGATCATTCCACTTTACCAAATTGTAACCTTTCCTGTCCTTGTTTCCCTGCCATAGGAACTTCCTTCTGATTCTGTCCAATCTGTCTGTGACCCCTACTGGAATGGGAAATAAAGACATCATGTAAGTAGGCATGGCATCCAAGAGACAAGTATTGTCCCTTCCATCTAGCCAGTTTCTTCTCACACTTTTCTATTACACTGCTCCAGATCTCTTTAGACATTGATTTAGCACCCAACGGCATCCCAAGGTATGTAGTTGGGAGATCCCCAACTTGTCCACCTAGGATTATGTTTAGTGCCTCCATGTTATGTACTTCATTAATGGGATAAAGAAAACTCTTTCTCCAATTAATATGCAACCCAGAGATTCCTTCAAACAAGACCAATATTACTCCCAGATATCTGAGTTGTTCTTCTTCTACCCCACAAAAGATGAGTGTGTCATCTGCATATTGCAATTGAGTCACCTCTAAACTTTCCCTTCCATCGTTGGCTACATCAAAACCTCTCAACCAGCCATTTGTGCTAGCTGTCTTGAGCATGTTGTTAAGTCCCTCCATCACTAGCAAAAACAGGAAAGGGGACAGAGGTTCCCCTGCCTGAGGCCTCTTTGAGCTCCTTAACCTTTATAATTATTAGTCTTGGACTAAACATGTATATATTTGTATGTTTTCTCCATTTGCGCCTTTTCTCAATAAAATCCACGCTTTATTTGTGCTTTGCGCTTAAAGCCCCAACAAACCTTAGAGTTTTTTTGCGCTTTTCGCTTTTGATAACACTGCCTACCACTCCTTCTCAAAGAGAGTTATCAACACTCTCAAATATTTCTTAGCCAAGCGTTAATCCTGGTCCTGTTTTGGTGGTTTCTTAAGACAATCTGACCTTTTGACTATCTCTCCTTGGGGTCGTTTATCCCTTCTTGACAATATCTCTATAACTGCTCTGTTTGTTTTTGCTGGATTAAGGGATGTTTGTCCCTCCTGTAACTATGATGTGTGTACATCCTAGTTATTTACCAAGGTCTATTACTTGGTTGTCTATGCTTGCATTTCTATTGTTTGATTGCCTCTTTCATTTCTTTTTGATATAATGTCAAAGGGGAATATGGACCAAGACAGACAATAAGCCATAAGAATCAGCACACACTAATAGGCCCACATTAAGGGGGAGACTCCATTACGAGAGGATGCACACTCTAAGGGGGGCAGTTTTGCTTTCACTCATCAGAGAAGTAAACTGCCTCTGACTTCTGATTGTCATCACCAAGAAGGGGGAGATTGTTAGCCCTTAACCTGCCTAATAAGTTCTAATGATGACACTGACTGAATGCTTATTATGCAGGAAAAATGAAAGGGAAGCCAACACTAACACACCAAGAAAAGCAGCATTACAAATATGGAAGGAAAGGTCACCTTGACAGAAATACGCACAAGGAAAGAGGACAAACAAGGGAAATCAATATTCCTGTAATTGGAGGAAATATACAAGCAAGACCGAAGCACGCACAAGTCAAGAACCTAGCCCAAAATTAGGGAAGAGCTATACATTGAAAGAAGTCAGTAGACACAGAGGACAGAAATACGTACAATGAAAGAGGACAAACAAGGCAAATCAATCTTCCTGTGATTGAGAAAATACAAGGAAGACCGGAGAACACACAAGGAAAGAAGACAGATAGGAGAACGCAATCAAGGCAAATTAATATACCCTTGATTGAAGGAAACTCCCTTGGGTTAACTTAAGAGTCGGTCGCTGAATATCAAAGGATTGATTCAGCAAATCAATCCCAGCAAAAATCAACATCAAAGTAATGATTCTCCAAGAGAAAGAATTGATTCTTAATCATATCATCTTAAGAGCAACAGTCATGAAACAGCCAAGCAAGTTAAAAGAGGATCAAGATCGAAGAAGAAAGATGTGCAACTTCACTTGAACAAGAACACTATTCACTCTTTCATCTTACAAAAAGCACTATAATCATCATAGTCTACTAGTAAAAAGAAAAGAAAAAAATATTAGAAAGCTATACAATTACAGGTTGTGACCACAAAAGAGATCTGGAATTATCCAGATGTAAGAAACTCTTCAAAGTTCACCACAATACAATCTGTTTAATCAAGTTCATTCAAAAGATCTAAAGGAAACCCTTGAACCCACAGAGGACAGACTAGGCACCATATTGGTGATCCGAACCAATATAAAATCAATTACTCTTTTTGTTTCCTTACTTACTCCATGTTATATCTGTTTTATCTGTAACTTGCACGTGAGTCAACTTGCATATATCAATAGTCAACTGATACTTTATAACCTTAGAAAATATTTCAGTACACCCCACCCCCCACCCCCGGAGTTTCAGTATTGAATGAGAAATTAGTTATAATAATGTAACCTTGGGATATAGGTATCACTTTCATCCAATTCAATTTGAATTAGTTTGATCTTTAGATGATTTGTGAAACACCATTGACCTACATTAAATTATTTGATGGACTTTGAGATATTGATTATTTCATTCAAGTAAGTAAAATTGTAAATAAGGGATTCTCTTTTTTAACCTTTATTTGATATGCTAAACCCACCACCCAGCCTCCCTACCTATGAGTCAAGAATGGCCATTTCCCACTATGCTCTCTTGGTCAGTTGAACCCTCAACCTCTAATATTAGATGTGGATTTTCACTAGGCTATCCCACTAAAACAAAGGATACCTTTTTATTCTTTGGATGCTAGGAAGAGTAAAAGTGGGATAATAAGTGGTGACTTAATCATTTCAGAAAGTGGACATTGATCTGGCATGGGTCGCATGGCCTAGTATGGACAGCATGGTATTCGACAATAAAAGAGTATTAACATCTTATATTAGTTTGGAATTTCAAGAGATCTTATCAAGAAAAATGAGACAAAAGTACAAAAGAAAAAGTGGTGAAAGAGAATGAATACAATGGGAATAAAGTAATTCATTATATTTCCTGTCTAGACAAAATGATCTCCATAGTAAATACAATGCTTGACAAAATGATCTCCATAGTAAATACAATGCTTATTTCTGTAGGGTGTCTGTCAAACATACTTTTTACAGTGAAATCACTTTAGTATGATATATGCTTCTATATATCTCAACATCAAGGCTGCGATATGTTAAATTATCACCTCTTGGCTAAGGAAGCAAATATTGGAGATGCCAAAAGAAGCCCAACCATGAAAGCAGATGATATGACACCATCCTGAAAATTGTTCAAATCAAAATCACCCCTGCAAAAACACACAAAATGAAGCTCAAATGTTTAGCTCTTTTCTATTTTTGGTGTAAACATGAATATCCTCATGAAGATGAGGATATCCCTAGTATGTTAGAGTCCTTAAGGAGTTCATAGGAAAACAACATCACTTTTGTATTTTTGATTGTAAGTATTACTGGAATATGTCCTGAGTATTCCTGTGTTTATAATACAAATTACCTTTTCAAAAAAAAAAAAAAACACAAAATAAGATGAACTTGGAGCATAGTTGTTATTGATGCATTTGTCGGGAAACAATATTCCAGACACAAGAATGATTAATATTTCCAAATTATAGTTTTAGTTGTTTTAGTCAAACAGAACTTCCCTGAGTGAATTAGGATACTTATTATTTTAGTTTTATAGGACTTTTGTTATTTCTAATTTATTAGGACTCTAGCTATTGTAAACCTCTATTTAAGAGAGTTGACATTATTAATAAAATAAGTTGGATTTTATCAAGTTTCTGAGATTCCGAACTTTCTCAAACAAGTTTCCATGTCTGCAATTCCCTGAATGAATTGCAAATTTCAGCAATCATAGCCAAGTCAAGGAACAAGAACAAGGACTTAGACCTGACTTTTCAGTTAATCATCCAGCGACTCGATGGTGATATGAACCGATGAGATTTTCACGCATGTCCAAACAGTGATTTCATTTCATGGCATGTCCAAACGCCTACTTAATGGCTATTCTAACCATTAAATTTCACAGGGAAAAGTCATTATTAGGGTAGGTATAAGTACATCATAGAGAAAACGCAAAATTGGACTCTTGGATATAATAACTAGTCAATCATCAAGAAGGAAAAATTAGAAAGCAAAATACTAAACATTGTCCAGGAAGGAAAACTTAGAGAGTGAAACATCAATCACTACAACTTCCCCATATAATCAATCACTTGAGAACGAAGCAGACTTGTACTGAAACATTAAGATTAAGTAATCAACAAAATACTTACTGGATTCCACTGCCAGAAGAGCAAGTACCGCTCTTAGTACACTCACTGCGCTTCCCATTAACACCGTTGCTCGCTATAGCACCGCGATCCACATAATTTAGCAAGTTGATTATACAGAATATGGCTAGTAACCTGACAATTCACAGCAGACAGATCATAAGCAAATATAAAGACAAAGTGATAGCTAAAATTAGAGTTATAAAATGGATTGTAATAGACACTCCAGAGTCGAAGAGCCTGGTGTTTCAAGTCAAAAAACACATCAGACACTGCTTCAAATAAAACTTCTTTCATTAAGCCTACAAGTTTCATTAGGATAAAGTAATACAAACTACCAATGACCTGCCGTATTTTCTAGGTTACTAATTTACACATTATAGAAATTGGTTCTTAAGTAACCTTACAGCTAAAAGTATCTTACAAATTAAACCCTAACAAAACTAATCTAGTGGATATTCTATTATCCATTCTGGGATTAGTTTATATGGAGTAACATGATCACTGAGGATTCATAAAGCCGGCCCCAACTTGTTGGGACTGAGGAGTGATTGTTGTGGTTGTCGTTTTCCTATTACCCGCACAATATGTATCATGAACTTTTGGTAGCTGAAAATGACAATAAAAACAACCCTACTTTTTCTTGCAAAATTCTTCAGGTTCCATAAATAAAACAGGAGAAAAGAAAAATTACAACCCAAAGTAAAAATGCCAATTAGAGTCATCATACTAATAAGGTCAGAAGCAAGTTCTCTGCTATTCCCAGGTTTTAAATAAGAAGAAGACATATACATCTTCAAAACCTGTTAATCAGAATCAAGAAAAGGGCACTTGCTTACTAATCGAAATAACAAACTAACCCCATGAATCTTGGTCTCTCCCTTCATGTGCTTGGACTGTAAACCAAAAGCCTCAAAAAAAAAAAAAACTGCAATACATAGGCAACCCACATGGCAAAGAGAGAAAACTCGTATTCTTTATAGTAAACTTGGAATTTTTCGCAATAATACCTTTTGGCAGTGAACCAGGAAGGTTGTGGAGCTAACGTTGATGAAATTGAATCTCTGATCATGTCTGTTTTGCAGGAACAGCCACTGATGATGGGTTTGGCTTCGAGTCAAATTTAGTGGTTGGATCATCTAAATGCTTTGGAATTGACTCTTTCGAGGAAAAGGCATTATTTTGAACTTTGGCTCAAAATGATCCTGCTTCTTATACAAGAAGCACTAATAGTCCACAATTTTGATAAAGTGGTACGTTTACAGTCCAACCACAAATATCCCTTTTTCTTTTTAACTGAGGAAACTCAACTCACAGTATTCTCTCTTTTGAAGCAAATAAAATAGTAATCTTATCTTTAAGCAAAAAAAAAAGGTCAATCAGTCATATTATATGTTTTTTTTGTTGTAAATAAGTCGCAGACTCCATTCTTTATTTCTATTATTTTCCTTTTCTATTATATAGAAGATAGAGTTTCAACATGTATGTATTTGTCATTAAATTAAAAAATAAGGACATTTTGGTCATTTAACTCTCAAGTTGATATGTATTTTAGGTTATATACGTGTCTTACCCTTTACTTTTGAGTAGACACATAGTAAGTGTTAAATAGACGCATAGCAATTTTAGGTATAACTTTTAAAAAATGTCTCTCGGAAGGTCTATTAAAAGTGCTTCTTCTTCTTCTTCTTTAGCGGCAATAACTTCCGCCGCTATAAACTATACCAGACAATGTTCTTTAGCCGGCAATGCCAAGGTCGGCAAAGGATTTTGGCTACTAAAGCCAATTCCTAACGGCTAACTATGGTCTTTTAGCGTCCATTATTTTAGTCGATAAATTCAAATAAATCACCTCTAAAAGTTATTAGTTTTAGCGGCAATTTTTTTATGGTAATAAATAGCTACAATATCCCTTTAAAAAAACATCTTAGTTTTCCCTTTTAGGGTCCATTTTTATGACAAATAAATTAAATTAATTGCCACTAATAGTTGAAATCATTAATGGCAATTATTTGAAGGGAACACTAAAGTCTAAAATATTTCCTCTGAAAACTTTTAAATGTAACCCTTTAGTGTCCTCTTTTATGGCTAATAAATTAAATTAAATTTGACGCTAATATCATTACCTTTAATACCAAGGTTTTACGAAGAGGGCCTACGGTCCATGAAAATTTCTACCGCCCATAGGACCCATCTGTAGGACTCTCTGCACTTAAAAAATTTCCAGATTTTTCTTTATATTCTGCACATGTAGCAAACATTAGGCCTTTCTTTTACATTTTTTGACACTATTTTGACATGGACCCTAAGTTTACCTATTCTAGCCTAAAAAACAAAACTAAAACTAGAAAAACTTCAAAAATAGCTAAATTACATTTCGGGTTGCCTCCCAAGCAGCGCTTGATTTAACGTCGTGGCATGACGCAGACTCCTTAATTACTTAGACTTCATTAAGATCCCATTCTTTAATCACCTCTTTGACTTCTTCCGGTTGCCTCAAGTAGATTTTTATCTTTTAGTCATTCACCTTGAACCTTGTTCCTTCATCATTTCAAGTTCAACTGCTCTATGTGAAAACAAAATCTCAGTATAATCTTCTTGACTTTTCATGGCCATTCACCATAAATAATTAAATTGGTGTTTTCATTTTATGATTTTTAGTTAAATTATTATTTGAGTTTATTATGTATACTTAGCTATTTCTAAAATTATATTGTAGGCTTGGGATTTTGAAGCTATTCCGGAAATTCAACGATTTGCCAAAGATTCTTCATCTAAAAGAATAATTCCAAGAATGATTAAATGGATGGCTGCAACACCTGCTTACAAGAAAAATATTGATCTTATTTATCAGACAAAAGAACAAGCAACATAAAATTAAATGTGTCATGCAATAGTTAAACAATAGTTGTAATTCTTGGACAACTGAACTTGTTGTTCCCACAACTACTTTGGTTGTCCAATAACAATAGAAGGTAAAGTGTTCTCTCTCCAAAAACTCAAAATATTTCTCACTCTTTCTAAATTTCAGAACTCTCTTTTTTCTTTCTCCTTTGGGCTATTTATAGTTTTCCAAAATTAGGCCCAAAATCCAATACGCGACCCATTCAGCGACATTAGTCGGGCTCGCCAAGCTCATTCGACGAATCGCCTCTTGCTCCTCACCTCATCTTTTCATGCTCTAGGTTTCAGGTGTTATTTTTGTTGTAATGGTTTTAAATTTTCTGCTAATTTTGGTATGTATTCTCTTACTTGATTTACTAGTCCTAAGAATGATTGTAATTTTCTTTTTGTGTCTAGTTGTTCATTTGAGTTAATTATTTTTTGTACTATATGTGTTTGCATTTTTATTCCATTTTTATCTATCTTTATTCTTAGGAATTCTATTTGATTTTTCATTATGTCTGCTTTCTTTTTACTTAGACTTATGCCTGAATATTCTATAATATGTATGAATTTTTCTAATAATCTTATGTGTTCATCTTGGGTTTTAGAATATAGTAATATATCATCAATATATACTAC